AGTGTGGATTTGAACGTCATTGTGGATAGTTATCTATTCTGTATTTTGGACATTAAATATCTTTTAAGTGAATAAATCAAGTTTCTTTTAAATACTCTAAAACCACTCCGTAACAGTTCCTTACTGTGAATTCTTTATTATTATAGTTAATGTTGTGTGACTTGACCGTTGAACCGCTACCCATTGAAGACGGAAAATTGCGACGAGGACAAAGTTGATTGAATAAACAGCGGTACCGGCAACGGATTGGTGCAATGGTGTCTTGCACAACTGTGCTGTGAAAGTTTTCGAAATTCATAAGATTTTAAGATATGGCCCAAAATGTCCACATCATTGATTTTCGGGAAACCGACCGGGACCTGCACTAGGACTTAAAAGGAATGTAGAAGGAATAAAAACACAATTTTTCATAAAAAGTTCATTTATTTATTGATTTAAAAAATACAAAATATCGACACTCGAACTTATAGTCCCAATCTATGTGGAGTTCTGCGTGGAGTGTTGAGCCCTGGCGTAGCTATCTCCTGCTTTACTGGTACATCTTCTTCTTTCTTCTTCCTTTCTTCTGCCATCTTCTGTTCAGCTTGCTTCATCTCTTCTTCCATACGCTGCAGATGTACGGCGGCTTCTTTGCGTTTGTCGCGGTTTGATCTGGGAAAAGAAGATAGAAATATTAGTTTATAATGATTTACCTTGCTCCTTGTGGTAATGAGAGACGAACTTGTTTCTGCATGATCGCCGGATACTTTAATAATACTTTACCAACAAGCTCCGGTTATGACAGATTGTTTAGATTTACATTACTGATAAGGGGGCTTACTCTTGAATCCAATTCTGATTGATCGACATTGGTATTCTTAAATTTCGTACTCTCGAGTTGCAATACTAGCGCCCGTTGCATCCGTATTGCATGGATATTGAATGAACTAAATGGTATTGAGTTTGGCTTTATATTCCGTACTCTGAATGCTATTTCAACAGCTACGAAAGGGGTTGTACAGTTGACATTGAATCATTATTGAGATTTTATTGGATTGAAATTGCATTGACATTAGTAGTAGTAGTAGTAGATTGGTGTCAAGAGTACCAAGAACAATATTATAATTTATTTTCGTAATAAAAGTCATAATAAATCGACCATTCCATATCAAAAACGAAAACAAAACATCAACTTACTTTCCAGTTTCTTTAACAGAAAAGAACATAGGTCCCAGTTCAGCGAGCCACCTGCCGTCTACAGCAGTGACGCAGTGCATGTACTCCTTCGTCGTCATCATCAGCTCGTAGTACACCACGTAGTCGGGCGAGTTGCCCAGACCGAACAGAGCCGAAGTCGGGTGCAAGTGACACGGCATCCCAGTACGACAGTTCACGTACTCCCCGATACCCTTCAGACGAGCTGCTTGTTGGAAGTAAGCTGTGGAGATGAAAAACATAGTTAAATTACATGGGCCCAAAATTGTACCTTGTGGCATTCCTGTTCTGTATACAGTTTCGTTATATTTTTTAAAGTGAAATTCAATATTCTGAACTTCATAAGATAAATAGTATAAAAATGGAGAAAAAAAAACATTCGTAGTTTAAGCGTAATAGCATATTAGTAAAGTTTTAAAATAAATATTTTACAAATAAGGCTATCGAAAGCCTTAGACAAGTCACAAAAACACTATAAAAAGTATCCTAGTCAAAATAGTACCTTACACCTTTTAAGGCAAGCCATATAATAACAAATAAACCCTATGACATTAATAATAATTTAATAATATAATATGATCCACTTACCAGAGCAGATACACTTGCGTACAAGATCCCAGTCAGTCCCGCAGGAGACGAGTGGCAGTCTCTGTTGTTGCATGATGTCTTTCAGTTGTTGTCTCACCTCGCGCACCTTGCGCATCGCCTTACCGTGGACGAAGTGCTCTGTGCACCACTGGCCCGAGTAACTAGAAGTACATAGATACTTTTAGTAGGAAAACTTTTTGGGAACCTAATGTATTAATTGAATTTTTAACCTATAATAGCTATAGTATATAAAAACGCTACATTTCCTACGTTCCTAATTGCAAAGCAAAAGACAAAATATTCAGTGCAAAAAAGCATTTTTGGACGTCAACCAATATTTCTCTTGTTCATCAGGGAAGCTATTTACTTGCTCCAAGATTCCTACGGAGAAAATCTATTGGATCACAACTTACTTGTTAGCCTTCCACTGGTTGTACAGATGCAGCAGTGTGAGGTGATCAGACTCTGGCACCTGGAACTTCTCTTTCACAGAGTCAGCTTCCTCCTCGCGACCTTGAGGCCGGTAGAATACTGACGGTACTGACAGCATGGACACTGGAAATAAACAATATGGATAATGAGTATTATGGATGAATAAAAATACGTAATTGGATCTAAATAGCATACTGGCATTAAAAGTTTGAACAGTCCCATAAATCGTCTACCTCGGAATCAAACTGAACTTGCATTTCGTCGGACATAGTGCAAATACGCGGAACTAGTATTGGATAATTCGGCGTATCTGACAAATGTAGCTTATTCAAGTTTTCGCGGAAGAAATCGCGCAACATCTTAATTGGCTGCTAGAACCTTGACACGAGTTCATTTCGACTAATTTTTGAATATGTAAAAATTTGATTCTAAACGTTTGAAGCTTCTCCTGTAAAATTAGATCTATTGCAGATACGCGGCCTTTACGAATGGTAGCTTCGCGGGTTTGCACTATTCCAACGATTTGTAGCTATCATTATATTGTATGAAGCATAAAGTTCCTCTTGTACTCCAAAACGATGATGAAATGTTTAAGTATAAAATTAACTGTCCCTACTTGGGTCGCCAAAAACCTTGTGGTTGAACAGATCCTCTATTTCTTTTCCTTAATTAATAAATTTCGGCTATTCTGATCATGATCGTCACAAGCCGGGATACATCAGGAATAGAAGTAATAAAAGGCACGATAGCCAATTTAAATATTAACCCGCTAGTTTCAGCAGATACTAGTATCTTGGAATTTCGAGGAAAAAACAAAAATGAACTTGTAAGCTTATATATCGAAGGCCTAATTACCCCCCTTCCCCAATCTCCCCAAAAAATTTTAAATTCCTAATCCCTAAAAGGCCGGTAACACAACCAGGTGATGCTCCAGGTGATGCTCCAGGTATCCATCGGCGACGCCGATTGCTTACCATCAAGTGATCCGTCTGCTCGTTTACCGACCATACCCATAAAAATATATTAAAGAAATACCTATTTAAGTACTACTTACCAATAATAAGTACTTCTACACTGCATCCCATCTTAGCGCTGACAATGAGCATGTGACACTGCGGCGGGTCCAGCGGGAACTCTGCCATCTGTCGACCGAGCGGGGTGAGCGCTCCCGTGCCGTCTAGTGCACCCAGGATCCATAGCTGGTACATTGAATTCAGGATTGTGTCCTAGAGATAGGGGCATATTATTATAATTTTTGAATTAACACAATAATATACTAGGGTTTATTGTAGAAAAGTTTGTTTATTGACACATAACACTTTACAGGAAACAAGACAAAATAAATTGTTAATACGAAAAAGGTTTCACCTCAGATCTCAGAGTTATCTAGTTGCTATAGTAAAATATGGTGATTATTTTAATACAAGAAACATTTTGCTTACGATGGTCGATTTTAAACATGTCTGCAGATTATGGAGACGCTTTTTCGACCTATCATAGAGTTCTGTTTTAACATTTAAACTACCTTAAATAATTTCTTTGGTTTCTTTTATATTCAGCTTGTCTCTTTAACAAATAAGATCGCTTAGCACGCAAAAATAGAAAGAATCTTACATACGAAAGAATCTTACATACCTGTGGTGGTGGATCCATAAAATGGAAAGCAAGGAGGTCTTCCACTCCCAAACTTTTCAGCAACAGTACAGTATTGGCGAGATTGGTTCTCTGTATCTCTGGCACTGTGGAGGACAACAGTTCATGTTGGTACTGTCTCTGTGTGTAGAGACAGAATGCCTTGCCCGGACCGGTACGACCGGCGCGACCCGCGCGCTGACGGGCGTTCGCTTGACTTACTGGGTAGATCTGGAAAGATTTTAGAAGTTGTGTTTTAGATTTTAGAAGTTGTATTTCTTGGTGTATTGATGGCAAATTTTGAGTAAAAATGTAGTGAAACTCCTTATGTCATGTAGTCATGTGAACAGTAAGATTATTTTCTAGCTTCAGTGAGCAGTCTGATTGGGTATAGTTCTCCATTTTCCAAATCATTTTCTAACTTGTTTGATTGTTTGGTAGTCAAGTTGTGTGACTGATACCACGGCCTCACAGAAGACCGACGTGAAACAACGCTTGCGTTGTGTTTCGTCGTGGGAGTAAGGTTACCTGAAGCCCAATCACCCGCCTTCCCCAATCCATGAATCTCTAACAATTCTCAAATTCCTAAACCCAAAAGGCCGGTATCGCAATTGTAACGTCTAAGGAGTTCCGGGTGTCCATGGGTGACGCAGATTGCTTGCTATTAGGTGATCCGTCTGCTCGTCTACCGGCTTATATTATTATCATAAAAAAACATACACCCTCACAAATGTTTCAATTATAATATTAGTAGCAAAGTAGGAATTAGTAGGATTGTTAAGTTAACATCGATATTCTGACATTATGTTAGCGGTATATTCAATTTTTTTACCAAAAATCTCTCTGTACTAAATTACTGCTGTTTCTTACCTGTAGAGCATCCATACCAATCCTTGGATTGTAGACCTTGAGCTTGCAGTACCCGCTGTCTATCACATACATGATGCCGTCCACCGTCAGTGACGTCTCTGTTGATATTACATTCACATTAGTAAATCATCATCATAACATTACGCCTTTTATTCCCGTAGGAGTCAGCAGAGGTGCACATTACGGCACTTATTGCTACTGTACTATATACAGTGAAACTTGGTTAAGTGGAACCTGGATAAGTGAGAAACCTCAATAACTGGAACTCATGCTGAGGTCCCAACACTTTGGCACTGAATTACCTGTGTTAGTGGGACGAGGTAAACCTCTATATCTGGGATTTATTCTTTCGATTTATCATCATAGTTACCTCTATAACTGAGACAGCGAGTAAATTTTATATGCATAAACCTCTGTAACTGAGATAACATTGCTTGTTTACTCATTTTTATTCTGCCCACAAATTCCAAACGTAGTTCCAAGTCCACCTCTATTAATGGAACCCTCTGTAAATGAGACAGATATTTATTTATACCTGTATATCTGAGACACTGGGTAAGTGGAATACGTCTATAAGTGAAACGATACTGCAGGTTCCTTGATGTCTCACTTAACCAGGTTTCACTGTAACACCTACTTTCTACTCTTTATGTTATGAGCCCCTTGTAATAGGGGGTGAGCCTATTGCTATATACCGGGCACAATTCCAGACTCCGTGCTACTACTGAGATTAAAAAAAACCAGTAATAATAATAATAATAAGCCCGCAGGGCACCTTGAGGCGAGGTGACGGGCATTAGCGATCCCGCGGGCTATCATCATCCCGAGTGCTCCAGGGAGAAGTCACCGTTCCTTCTTCTCCGGCTTGCCTTAATTGGCTGGCTGGAGTGAACGATGACAAGGAACAGGTCTCCCACCTCTGGCTTGCCTTCATTGGCCGTCCAGAGTGGAGTCGCGAGAGCAGTGATCCTGCTCGGAGGGTAAGAAACTATTCGTAAGTCGCGAGTGGGCCAGGGATGCAGGAGGCTTCGGCTGGAGCAGATGATCTGAGTAGAAAGCGGTGGTAGTTTCTTAACCCTTCA